AAGTATCAGATGTGGTTTAATGTTTATGTCAAAATATTTGTTCAACCTGTTGTCTTTTTTTGTCCCATCATGGTTGTCTTTTGAATTTCAAAATTTTGGGTGGCTTCATATGGTATATGCTTTAGTTGGCAGATCTTTTTCCCATGAATATCTTTGACTCAGGGTTCCCTGTTCAATTTGATTTTTAGGTGGTGCGGTTGTTATACACAAACTCTGGGTTTGCTGTATTGGCTCTTGGCTCTAATGCCATTCATAAGTTGTGGAAATGGGTGCGTAATGAGCGAAATCCTTCTGGCAAGGTAAACAAGTATTATCGGTGAATTTATCTATTAGATGCTAATTTGTTTTCTAATGGGTTCTTCTCTTGGTGCTTCAGTCAAATGCATCTGTTGCCCCTCAGCTGTGGCAGCCATCAAATGGTGCTCTTATGACAAATGAAACAACTGACACCAATCCCGAAGAAGTGACTCCATGTATTGCTTTGTCAAAGAATGACTCCTATGTAATGTCTGGCTCTGGTGGCAAGATTTCATTGTTTAACATGATGACTTTCAAGGTGCATAGTGTCTTTGATTGTCATTAGACTGATGTTCCTTGCAACAAACTTGGTTTGATGTCCGAAAACTTAATGACCATCTTTCTACTTTAATTTGAATATCTTACCTGTGTGGCATTTCATAGGTCATGACAACTTTCATGGCACCCCCACCTGCAGCCACCTTTCTGGCATTTCATCCTCAGGACAACAATATCATTGCCATTGGAATGGAGGATTCTAGTATTCAGATTTATAATGTACGAGTTGATGAGGTCAGTATTCTCATACTTTGTATGCTTTGTGAGAATACAAACAATTCTGTTTGTAGTTTTGGAATGATGATGTCTAAACTTCTCTAGTATGGTTTTCCTAATGTGAACATTTACTGAAAACTTTGCAGGTTAAAACCAAGCTCAAGGGTCACCAGAAAAAAATAACTGGTCTTGCATTTTCCCAGACATTAAATGTGCTTCTCTCTTCTGGAGCTGATGCTCAGGTGCATAGATTAAAAATACCAGCTTTTGGATTTCTTTTATCAAATATATACATGACATGGAGGTGATATAATTGTGATTACCTAAAAGTGATGATGCTTTCACATTGGTGTCTTTCAACTGCATCATTAATAGCTTTTAAGGTGCTCAGCTTCAGTCTCCCTGTGATGGTCTTCTTCTGATAAACTAAATTGCAGCTATGCATGTGGAGTATTGATGGATGGGAGAAGAAAAAATCACGATTCATCCAGGCACCAGCTTCCCGTGCATCTCCACTAGTTGGGGACACCAAAGTTCAGTTTCATAATGATCAGACACATTTCTTGGTCGTCCATGAAAGTCAACTAGCAATCTATGACAGCAAGCTCGAGTGTTTATGCTTGGTGAGCTCTTCTAAATATGCAGTTTTATATTTTCCAACTGGGATTGACAGGAAGCTTTCTCATAAGTCAGATTCTACCTCCACTAGTTCTATAGTCTCATATCTGAATTGGATGGTCCTTGTTTCTCTGGCTTTATAGTTGCTGGTTTTCTCAGTTTAAATTAGTTGTTTAGGTTTGATCTTACACCTGGCTGTATGAAAATTATTCCTGCAAATGGTTCTTCTTTACCATGCTTTTTAGATGCTCTCTGGATTCTCTATTTAACAGTATCCTTGCACGCGTTGTTTCCTTTATATGAATTCTTCTGTTCAACTAGCCAGTCTCTTTTGTTTGGCTCAACTAATACGTTTTTTCTCCAATTCAGTGGTCTCCTAGAGATGTGTTGTCAGCACCAATTTCAAGTGCAATATACTCTTGTGATGGTCTATTGGTGTATGCTGGATTTAGTGATGGTGCCATAGGAGTTTTCGAAGCAGACAGCTTGAGGCTTCGGTGCAGGGTTGCACCATCTGCTTATCTATCATTGTCCATTCAGAGGTATACTGCTTTTGTTTAAATCCATATTTTTTGCAATATAAACATAAAATTAAAGTCCCATCAAATTATGTAGCAGTGTAGTAGATCTTTAATTGTTAATTGGAGCTATTACTTTATGTGCTTTCTTCTATATTTCCCTGTCTAAGTTGATGTGTGACTTTACGTTCTCTTTCTCATTCCTCGTCTGTGACATTTAGTTTGGTTAGTCTATTTCCACCATAAAACTATATTATATATGTCTATGTAGTCTTGTATTGTTGTTGTACATGCATTTTAAGTAGCATGGTAGTATCTAGCAAAATGATGTTAAACTGTTAAGAAAGCTATTGGTTCACAAGTTGTCTCTGTATTTACACAATCCCATCATAGGCTGTTAAAACCAACCAAAGTAAGCTCAACTTCTATTTATGTTTTTCTTGTATATTCAACTTGTGAAAAGTCAAATCCGAGAAAGAGTTTTCCATGCACTTACAATAAGAGAGATCATATAAAGGGGGCTTTACATGAAATGCCCATATCATTTCTACGGGTTTATTTAAATAGACTCTCATTATTAGCATGACACAGTAAGCCACAAATACTAATTATCAGAAAGAGATTTGTGGTGACTTTTTTTTGTTATTATTTCTTTAATAGATTCATTCTGATGGATTTTCTCATGTTTTCTTGCAACCATTTCCAGTTCTGCAGCTGTCTTTCCCATGGTGATTGCTGCTCACCCATCTGAACCCAACCAGATAGCCCTGGGAATGAGCGACGGCGCGGTCTATGTTCTCGAGCCATCAGATGCTGATCTTAAATGGGGATCAGCACCTCCCCAGGAAAACGGCGCTCGCCCATCCATCTCCAATCCGGCTTCAAACAGTAACCAGACATCAGAACCCCCTCCTAGGTGATCATATATATATATATATATATACACTTTAAATTTATTTCTATTGATGAAGAGATTAGGTGTTTCTTCAAAGGGCTTAAAAGGAGAGCAACATCTCCAAATACGACTCTCAAGCTGCACGTGTTTCTTCTCTGTTCTGGGTGACTTGTTCCCTCCCACTTTGTAAAGCTCCTCATGATCTAACTTGGTATAGATTTTTCAGAAACGGCTGGGGAGATGTGTAAATTATACTGATTGTGCTTCCCTAATCTAGTTGGATTTAGTTGCCAACTTTTAGGATTGTTTTCCTCACCTAATGATTGATGCATAGTTCATCGGTACTGGATCCGATTGCCATCATCAACTTTTAGGATTGCCATCTATCCAAAAATGTTGATGGGTATCGGATTTTACAGTGAAGTGTTCCCCTTTTTACAGATTCAATTGATTGATGAAACTGATATCTCATAATGAATTTGAGATTTTCCACCAGTAATCATTAGAAAATTGTGAAAAGTTTAAAGCTAAACTTGATATTGTCTGACTTGGTTCAACCCTAATGTTGTAGAAAAAGAGACTCTAACACCCCTTCAATGGCTGCGGGGGTAGTTGACTTGCACTTAAAGTTGATCTTAAGTGAATTTTTAATATAGGTCTTTGTTATTGACTTAATTGATTTTACCTAAGTCTATTCCGTTATATAAGATTAGTCTTTTTAGTTTCTCTTATGATTTTTTTTAAGATGACGAGTCAGAGAAAGTATTTAATTTAAAGTTTAATAATCAATTATTTTGATAAATACTTGATAGGTAATATAAATTATAATTATATATTTTAGAATTATTAATCGGGAACCATTCACCCGTTCTTGTTGGCTACGCTACCACGAGTCGGCGTGGTTGGATTAGACGTTGCTTTTATGTATTTAATCCCATCACCAACAAGAAGCCTTTCCTTAGCGGGGCCCGGCCCCACCTCTGCTATGATGGCGTCGAGAGGTCCAAAAGGTCCATCGGGGACTTTGTGGATCCGATCCAATGCAAGGGCATCTCAATTTTGGTTCCAGTGGGGATCCGATCTTTAACACCTCGGGGGGCACGAAGTCAAACACGTATCGACGTGGAACGGAGACTAAATGGGATGAGACGGAGGTGATGTATGTTTTCGAGTTACGTGCTAAACACTTTCATTTGGTTTGGGGTTTGGCTCGCAGGACGTCGCAGGGGCCGACCCACCGGCCGCCGGGGAGTACTCTCGCAGCCGACTGCGTTGTAGGCCGCCGTTCGCGGATAGATCCGAGAAGAGAAGGGGACGGCGGACTTCTCCCTCCTCCGCGATGGCTTCCCACCTCAAAGATTACGGTGCCCTCTCTCTCTCTCTCTCTCTCTCTCTCTCTCTCTCTCTCTCTCTCTCTCTCTATCTAACACAATACGCACCATTTCTTGATTGCTCGTGGAAATGGCGTATGATTAGTGTGCCTTATCGTTGACTGATTCCTTTATGAATGGGGGAGAGTGGATCGAATCTAAACTTCTCCAAACTGTTGCGGTTCTCAGGACAAGCGTTTGTGATCATGGGAGTCAGCGGCACCGGGAAATCGTGAGACCATTTCTACCCTTCTTCTAGTACTACTAATATGATGCTGTTTCAGCCCCATTTTCATTCCTACGAATGCAGAATGCTTCTCTTGCTTCTTTTCAGATAATAAATATTTTTGATAGCAGAACTGTATAGATCAATTGGGGAAGCTTCTTTTCAGATAATCTGCCATTGATGCAATTGATTCGATTTCACACTCTTCACTTAATTGAGGAAAACAAAAAATTACATATGTAGTAAACTGGAAAACACAAATGATTTCCTCCTGCAGTCACTGGGAAGAACATAGATGATTAATTTGGTACAAGTCCAACAACATAGCATAGCATGGATTAAGGACCTTGGTAAGCAATCTATGGTGAGTCTGCTGAGGCTTCATGGATCTTCCAATTTGTCTAGCTGAATGCAACATGTGATAAAAACATCAATATCTTTTAGACTATTCAAGTTTAAGATCTGTCAAAGAGTCTTGCTTTCTGATTTCCATATGTGGCATGCTTGCAAGATACCTGACTGGTGAATGCCCTCTTACTTTGATCCATTTTAATGGGTCTTTCCATTTGCGATATGCTTCCATCAGCAGCAGGCAGGTCTTTGGTATCAGTAAAGACTGAGCTATCAACTGTGTTACATTTTGCTTCTGCTATTCCTGCATGCAAACATTTTCAAGCCAGTAGGTTTTGCCAACAAGTGCTGTTAATATGAACTATGATGCTTTTGATATATTTTTCTGCAGATAAATCAGTGTTATTGTAGTAGGCACTTACTATTTGATGTAGAACACTTGCTCTTGTCTTGTGCTATCAGGACTGTTGCTGAGATGCTTGCAAAGGCACTAGATTGCAGCTTTCTTGAAGCTGATGACTTCCACTCACAGGCAAACAAAGGTAAATTCTGTATCATCCTTGTGATTTCCTTTCCTTGGCTTTTTAGGCACATTGAACAGAGACAAACATGTATTCAAAACACCTTTACTACAATAAATTGCTCACGAACATCAGTCAAGGATGGATTAGGACAATAGATGTACACAAGCATGTTTCTATGTTTCGGATTTGGAAAGACCAGAAGAGGTTACATGAAGACATGGAAGCAATCAATAAAAATATATATTTTTTACCATCAGATACACCTTTTGCCTGTGAGAAGTATTAACACTGGAAAAAGGTTTGTGAGGGGGGCTTTAAGCGGAGGAAAACCCAAAAAGTGATATAAAGTTGCCCCTCAGATTAAACAAACAGATGAGCACTTCTCACAAGAATATCATCAAGGCATACCTTTTTTAGAAAAAGAACTCTGATCAGTACAGTTTCACAATATTTTATGTTAGTGGCATAAGCTGATGACTGGTTTTCTGTCTCCAGTACAATTTTCATGTTCATGAAATGTAAGGATATGTAAATTGGACTGATTCTTTGAACATGGAAATCATCTTGATTTCCTTTCTATGTTGTTGTATTATGGTTTACTGTTAATGGTCATACTATTCTGTAATGCCAGGTACTGCAATATGACTGACTCATGATGCTCCAGAGATAATTATCATGATAAATGCATAAAGAGCCTTGTGAACTTCTGTCATAAGATGATAATTTGACACGGATTTGTCAATTAGTAGTAGTTTAATATGGTCTTGTGACCCTACTTGTTTCTGTTCTGCATGGCACCATGTCCAAATTTTGTGTTCTTTTCAATCTGCCCTCTCAAACAACTCAGAGCACTTTCTTTAGGAGCAGCATCTCTTCACATGCCCCTAAAACCCTAGCTTAGATCAATGTAGATTTATGATCAGTTGCAGCAATATTTAAAGCTTGCAGTAGCTTTTGAATTAATGGTTAGAAATGCATAGTATCCTTTAATTGGAGTAACAAATGAAAGTGAATTGACTGTTCTGTTTCGCAGCACAGACAAGATGAGAAAAGGGGTTCCGCTTACAGATGAAGATCGATTCCCATGGCTTGAAGCACTCCGCGATGTGGTCGGGAAGATCATGAGCTCCAGTAAAAATGTAACTCTTACCTGTTCTGCACTGCAGAAAAAGTACCGGGAGATCCTCAGGTCAGCCGATGCCGATTACAAGCCGGGACAGTACACCATCTGCAGGGTGAAATTTATATGCTTAGAGGCTCCAGTGGAAGTAATTGCAGACAGGATCAGGAGAAGATCAAAAGATGGGAAGCATTTCATGCCTGTTTCTCTGTTGCAGTCCCAGTTGGACCTGCTTCAGATTGATGAAGCCGAAGGGGTGATTAGGGTTGATGCCACCATGAGCCGTGAAGCCATTTTAGAGAGCATACTGACAAGCCATTTTTGATGACAGAAGTGGGCAGCTGATTGTTTGAAGTGAGAATAAAGCTTAATAGTTCTGCTAGTGACTGAAGGTAATAAGCTGGCACGCATAGCATAGCATACAGTTGATAAATTTGATGGTTTGGTGTCGACTGATGACACCAGTTAAACATGAATAATCATCTCTTGCTAGTGAACTCATTTCAATTGCCAAAGCAGGATAAGTATTTATTAGACACTAGTGGAACATTTTCTCCATCATACGAAGTGATTGCTAAGTACAACTTCAGATGATGTTATCTGTTCCTTTGGAATAATTAATGATTTTAAGTTCAATGTAATTGATGGTGGAGAAATATTGCATCTATACATGTGATGGTGAGAAGAAAAGTTTACTAACACAAGTTGAAATATTGCATCTATACATGTGATGGTGAGAAGAAAAGTTGACTAACACAAGTTGAAATATTGTGTGTGCACACAGATCACCATTTTTTCCCCTCGAGCCAACATGGAAATCATGTCAAAGAAAGGAAAGGGAAGCTATAGATGATGAAATCACAAACTGACATCAATTCAAACAAGACATGGAAGGCATAGACTACCATAACATGTATCAATGGAACGGTCAGCTCCTTCAAGCCACAAACAACAATGTTACAGAGGAGCATGGTTGCTAGGAGAGGAACGCCTACCTGCTGACTCTAAGATACTAGGAGAAAGTTGGTGTATCATTGAAAAGGAACAAGCAATTTCACATTTCTTATGAAGTCATCAAAAGAAGTAAAGACTCTATCAAACAGAGAATGTTAACCTGATACAGCACAATAAATATTCACTGACCTGAGAGCAAACCCATAGGCAGAAAAATATATTTCATATAATCTGATACAAAATGGTGATGAGCAAAGAAAATTGTATATTCCATGAGTTTGATGCAAATTCTTGGATATTCACAGTTTCACTTCAATGATTTATCATCCCAAATACTAAAGACACTTATCAAAGACTGATGGTTCAAAACCTTATTCGATAAGCCTTAAAAAATGTCAATTAGTTTAGTTGATAAATACCTTGATCATTGACAACAAGAATCTGCAAACAAATCTCACCTTTGCCGTCTATCTTTTCTATAAAAAAAAGAAAACAACTCAATCGTTGCTCAGTGAAAAGAAAATTAAGATCCAGAATATTTAAGGACACTAGACACATTGAAAACTCAAGAAGATGGACAATGCAGAAAAGATGCACCCTGCAATATAATTCATGAGGAAAAGGGTGCAGACATCTCTAAAGGACTTTCTTGAGAGACAAAACAAGCTGGACAGATCTCATATTCTCAACAAGGATATAATTCAGAGAGCAAAGACAGGTATTGACAAAGATATAATTGAAACTAAGAGAGTGATGCACAACACAATCTCCTGACAGATGATACCCACAAGATTATGTTGGAAATTGTCGGTCAAGTTCTAGCGCCTAAAGCCAGTGAAGTGCAAGCTATTATAAACCCTAAACCTACAGAAATTTCCAGCCAGACAGTTACATCTGGAGCTTAGTATCATAAGCAAAGTTATACATATAGCTGCCGAAACATTGAAAGAGAGCAATGACTCAATCATACCGCTCGGTGTCTGAAGAGTGATACAAATCACCAAATGGTAAGAATCATCAGTATCATAAGCAGTAAGCATGACAAACATGATCGAATGGGCACCATTTCTAAAGGGGCACTGGTCCAATCGAGTAAATTCTCAATCGATTTGGTCATCTGCAACTTGGCTGTTCGGAAACAATGCTTCTCTTCTCTTTGCAAAACCTGCAGGTTCCATACTCTGCCCTCTAAATTTCAGCTCCCCTGCCCCCCTAAAACCAGGATCTGCACAACCAGACCTAAATGGCATCCCTGAGCCTCCAGGGTGACGAGAAGGAGACACATATCTTCGAGGTGGACCTCGTAATGCCGCTCCTCTTGATTCCCTAAGATCACCAGCTCTCACACCATCAACATAAGCTCTGTCAGCAGCTCCAGAGCCCAAAAGACTACTCGAAGAAGAAGAAGCATCCTCAGCATTGAAAGACTCCTCTGTTGTCCACCCCAAGGAGTCCTTCTTCTTCACATAGAACTGCCATAATATCCCAATCAAAAACAAAAGTAGCAGAAGAGCAGGACCACTCCACACCACAGTGTTAGCGTGCAACCCGAAAGCTGGAAAATTCGACCGATAAATCCCAATGTAACCATTGCCAAGCCCCAGAACCACAAGCTTTCCACGGTCCGCTGCTAGCATAGGCTTTGCTCCCAAAGGCCCATCAGCACTGGCATCCGAATTCAAGAACTGGGACTGCATCTCATGGATGGCAGCTGAGAACAGAGGACGAGGTGCCCCGACCCTGCCCGGGAACTGAGAGGAGATGTTGTACACGAAGAACTTGTCGTAGCTTGCTACGAGGAGATACCCTTTGATGGTTCGGATCGCTGCGGGTCCGTCGATCTCTGACTTCCTTACCGACCGAACCCGGCACTTGAGGTTGGCCACATCCCCAAGAAGCACGACGTGGATCAGGTCACCTCCAGCAGTCAAGCCATAGGCCTTCAGCCGCTCCGACAAGTCAAAGGAGTAGGCTTTGGCGACCGAGCCATTCAGCCCCTCGCACTCGGTCTCCCTCACCGCCATGGACTTGAGGTCCAGTGACCCGGCGCCTGTCTCGGTGAGGAAGAGAAGCCTTTGCTTCATGAAAGCCAATGGCGGACCCGAAGCAATGGCCGTGCCGTACAGGGTGCCATTCTCCGTGAACACTCGGATCCTCCCGCCGCCGTCCGATGCCAGGACGTAGCGGACCCGCCCCACCTGATGGACCTCCAGGCGGGAGACCGGCGGCGAGTCCAACTCGCGCGACCCACGGATGAAGGGCTTCGAGCTGCCAACCGAGAGAGTGAGCCAATCATCGCCGCTGGCGGCAGACTCGTGGAGGCGGTGGGCCGTGATGGAGCCGTCGGCGTGGCCGGAGAAGAGGAGGCTCTCGTTGCGACGGGAGGAAAGGTAGGAGAGCATCGACGTCACGGGGGAGTCGGACAGAGAGGGCAGCTCGATGACGACGTCGCCTGTGGAGGAGAACACGTAGACCCGGCCGTGAGTGTCTCCGACAGCGAAGTATTTGCCGAGGCCGTCGAGCTCCTCATACGGGAGCACGGTGGCGACAGCGGCGGAGGCCTCCAATCGCACCGCCGCGGCGAACAGGAACCTCTCCGACCAGGAGGTCTTGTGCTTAGTGACGGAAACTGCGGAGGACCGGGCGGCGCCTTCCGCCACGGCCGCGGACGCCGCCTGCGGCGTTGAGAGGACGGGGATGATGGTCTCCAGATCCATGGGTAGATCGGAAGAACGGTCAGATCGCGCGGAGAGGCAGGCGGAGAGGGAGGACTGGAGGGCTGAGACGGTCTCAGAGAGGGACTCGACTAAGGTTTCGAGGCGCTGGAGCTGGGACTCCTGGCGGTCTAGGAGGGCGACGGTATCGGCTCCGGCGTCGGCGGAGGAGGCGAGCGGGAAGGATAGGAGGAGAGGGAGTAGGAAGGCGGTCGCCGCCATGTACGGAGAGCGAGGGTTCCCGCTGCTCCGCGCCAGATCTTGTATTCTAGTGGCGGAGCGCGATCGAGGAGGAAGGGCGGATGGGATCGACGGAATCAGGCTTTTAGGGAGGACATTTAGGTGAAGAGGTCGCGCTTGCTCCGCCTCTTTGATGAGAGCGAAGAGGCGGCGACGCCCGGTGGGGGAGTGGGAGGCGATCGGGATCGCATGTTGAGCTTGCAGCAGCAGAGTATGATCCACTTCGTCTCAGAATCCGACACGGTTTTTTCGTTTTCTTCACGTGGATAATGCTTATGTAAAGTTAAGCTTATTGTGTAGACAGAAATATTTGCCTGAATAATAATATTTTTGCAAGAGAGATATTTTTCTTATGATTAATTATATCCAATGAGCTACTATTAATCAAACTATTGATTAGTAAAAATCATAATAATTTATTTTAAAATTAAACTTTATTTTGTTATTACAAAAATCCTAATATTAATTTATTTCAAGAAACTATACAATTGAATGATTTTCAATAATATTGTTTATTATTTATTTTAAACTTTTCCTGTACATCATCCTTTTTTTTTTTTACCATGTGTGTTATAGAAAGAAAAAAAACTTCCAAATATTTTCCTCTCTCTCTCTCTCTATATTTATATATATGTGTGTGTGTGTGAGAGAGAGAGAGAGAGAGATGTCAATATAATGACTTGTAATAAGATCATGATTTGAAGAGAGTCTTATATATATAATAAAAAAAGACATGGACCAAAACCTACTAAATTAATTCATTGTTCCGATACTAATTCTGTGGATATGTTTCTGTAGGTCCTTTAGTACCACTTAATGCTTTCCTATCATGTGTGCTCACCATAAATCTTATTATGTACGTCACCAAAATACTGTCATATGGATTTGCTCACGTTATGTACAACATGTAAATGTAAGGAAGCATGACCATAACGTGTTCGCTGTGTAAGAGTCTCCATTGAGAAATCATGATGGTTAACACATCAACATCATTAGGTAATTAATATGTCTCAAAAGATTGTCTTATAGGCAGTTTAATATAAAGGAAAAAATTAGTTTTAAAAAATCATAGGTAAGAAGATTGAAATATACAAGCATTTTTTTTACTATTTTAATACAAATAAATCATGATTTCTAAGTACTTGCGATCAATTATATGAAGTTTTAAATGAATCATTATCTAATCTAACATAATTATCTCATGCCTTTCTTTCAATTTGTTCTTCTACTATTAATCAATTCATCTAGTCATGGACAGCATATTATTTTTATGATCCTTAATTTATGTAGAAAGGGTTGTGTGGTGGATTCTTTGTGTTCTCTTTAAACCAAAATGTGTTTGGTTAGTATCTAAGTATGAAAGACCCCCCATCACAAGAAAAGGTTCATAAAGGAGTTTATCAGAGTGGTCAAGAAAGTTTGTTTCTTTCTTCTTCTTACTTTTCATGAAGCAGATTTTTGATGATCTGAGAGAAAAGAAAAACTAGAAGTTTTTTACATTGAGTATGCCTGAATTAATAATCTGACTGTTTGTTTCATTAATTATTTAACAGCAAGATACTTCAAGTAATTGTCAGATATAGCCGAGAAATATCTTAATATCCTGTGACTACTGTATCCAAAATGTTTTTATGTGGACACACAAGCAATTTGAAGTAATAATGCTCCAAAATTAAATTGGTAAGCTCTTCTATGAAATGTAGAGTTTCACATTAATCAACACGTAGTTAGAGAAGGG